CTAGTGTTAACAAATTCTGTGAGAATGAGCCCCGTGAGCACACCTTCCGCATGCGCGTAATTGGAATAGCCGGTTAGGCGACCAGTGATTAGGGATTAAGAAATAAGTGCCTGATTATTTCCATGAATTTCATTCAATATGAGCATTAAATATTTCAAGTATAAACATACTTATACTGGTGGTAGGACTTCTTGTGAGTCCGCACGTGTAGGTACCACCACCCTTTCTATTTCTGCCGTGAAGCAGTAATGCGTTTCGGTCTGAAGGGTGGGGCAGCCGTTGTAACCATACCTTAGAACGTATATCTCAAGGTGGGTGGCGCATTTACGTTGTAAATGTCTGTAGGCTCCAGTAACCACATAACACCAGGTGGGCTATGAGCTCCTCCACCCATCTCAGCAATAAAAATAAAATAAAATACTTAGCAGTAATCAATTAGATCAAGAAGAACAAACTATTTTATCACTATTTGATGACAAAAGCACCACTAGCCGCTGTGAACAAAAACGAAGTTCAAGGTCGAACTTAATCTTCAAAAAACCACACAATTACGTTCTATTCTAAGAACTTCAAACTTCAGTCTCCATCTTTGATTAAAGTGAAACAGAACCGAAAATAACTACTTTTTGACAATAGAGAAGTTCGTAAAAAGTATATTTGGTTCTATGTATTACCACTATTATGTAATAAGCTATAATTATAAATCACATGCTATATTCAGTACATAATAGTTTGGTAATAGAGACAATGGAACAATCGACTGTATTTTTCCATTAGTTTAGGAGGCAAGCAATTTCACGAACCGCCTGCTGCTTATCGTTTGCCAGCACCCTTTGTGTTGACAGAAAAACTCCCTAACATTTAATTCCTCAAATGCTTAATTTGGGGCATAATTAAAATAATACCTCCTTCGTACGGACTCTTTATGTAAGTTAACTAGTACAAATTTCTTGACAGATTCAGAAAAGCACTACTTTTTTAGGACAGGTATTAGCAAATTCTTTCAGGCTGAGATCCGTGAGCTCATCGACTAGTCACAGTGAATCCAGAATAGCCCCGAAGCTACTAAAAGATAGGTAGGCAAAAGAAAAGAATTTTCTACAGCATCCATTAAATACTAAAATAGTTACGACAAATGCCACACTTCGCTGTAGCTATAGCTAAAGTTACGAAATACGAGCTTTGTTGAAAAGACTTACACGCCACCTACTGTACGGTAATGACGCTATTACGTAAAAGTTTTTATGTAAAACACTAACAACTAGACCAGATGCAATACGGAGAAGATACAAGCATTCTCCACAACCGCAGTATCTTTAACTTCTGATGTGTTATGGAGAATTCTAAAACACTAATATAAGGAGTTTAGTGAAATTCAATTTAATTATTCCTTCAATGAAATTATAAGACATTTTGTACATCCTACACCAAATAAGATGTAGCTTTTCGTTAATAACGCAACTTTTTGTAAGCTCGATTCGATTATAAGCTCGATTAGGTACTGATGCAGAAAGGTGTCCTGACTATTTATTTCTGCCGAGTGAGGCATTACATTTTAAAGGGAAGACATACTTGTATACAAATACAATTGAGATTTCAGCCTCATATTTCGAGATGGCTGGCGGCATTCGCTTTGTTGTTTCTATGACATTCTGTAATCAAGTTACACCCGAGCGTTAGCTCTTAGTAACTACTTCACCCACTCGTTTTCCGACTCATCTTACAATTCCATTGTAACTAAATACAGAACTGTTGGATGGGGGAAACGGAATAAGCTCTCAATATGTTGTTAAGAAATCCGTTTAAAGAACAATGCATACGTAATGTCAAGCAGACGAGGCTGTCGTCATTTAAACTCTTTACTGAGTTGTTTATTTTCAAAATGGAATTTTAAGCTAGTTACCTTCACATAAAATAATTTTGTGATCATTTATTCCCTTTGTTATTCAAGCATTATTTTAAAATTGCCTGGTAAAAAGTTATTTACTTTCATAGATAGTGATCAGGATCTTATTTATTTGACAGGGTTTGAAACAAAATGATCATATAATCGAGGTGTACCAATCGAACATCAGCATCTCACGTTTTTGCAGAATGCTTATATACTTTTTATATTCAACACAATCCATCGAGCTAAATTCAAATCAAAGATGTAGCGAATATTATTCATGACAAATAACACAATTAATTAATCGATATGTAGAAATTATAAGTCAATATGTACAAAATAGGGATCATTGGTTTTCCTTGGATAGCGCCTTCATCTAAGGACGGATTCTTGCAAATACGTAAAAATAAAAATACTAAAAATTAGGTAAATATTACGATAAATTATTAAACGATAATGTATTGCTAGCAACAATATGAATAATATATAACTGAATTACATAGTAAGTAGATTTAGCATTGTTATAGCATTCTTTTTTCATATACCGTTATTACTACGTATTATTTTGTAAGAAATATAGAGGCCATTTTTATTTTGTTATTTTATATAAGTTATACTTTTGATATACTAACAGCTTAATTAATTCGTTGGATTTTTTGCGTAAGAAGTTAAATTTAAATATATTTTGGTATTTCGAGAAGCCAATTTTATTTTAATTTTTTTATGTTTTGTACAAACAAGCTCACGACCTACTTTGTGTTAAATACTTAGCGTAACACATGGAGGTCATGAAGTTAAGAATCCCGACACCTTTCACACATTTCCACAAAAATCCCAATCATATTGTATAACCTCTATCCCTTCCCACTGCTTCGCGCCTAAAATTGACAGAAAAAAAAGTTTCCAAAAATAGTAATTATTACGGTATGAATAATCGCTAGTAGTTAATAAATACCCGACTTGCGTCAATAAATTACTCGAACATATAATATTTATAGATACGGGATATGTATACCGTGCACTTAACTCCTTACTTACTCACTTAAGTCTGTTCGCAGCATGAATCTCTGTGGGATATGAATTAAGCTATACTACAATTAAGACTTGTTTTATTTAAGACTGTAAAGATTAAATTTAATAATTTTTTCAGTATTTATCTTAACATCTAAGCATGTAATCTGGATAACGATATATAATATTTTCATGTAAGTTTTAAAAAATAGTGTATCCTGAAAATCAGTATCTGAAGCTTGAGACAATAGAAATTGTTTCCATACTTCTTTGTAAAGAGTAAATTTATATTATGTATTATTACATCGAGTTTTAACCTGTTGTGTAAGCGTTAGTGTGTACGTAGCGATTCCGGATATCAGCCACAGATTATCCATATCTTGGATGAAACTATTGTTGCCAATCATAGATGACCGCAATATACCCCAGAATTTGTAACATTGTTATTTGTAACTTAAAAGTATATTTAAAGGTTATTTACTAACCTAAGGCCTTTTCTATACCAAGCTGCTGACAGTAATCACTCAACATCATGTGGGACGCAGCAACGTAAAAATAGAGCTTTTTCTTGTTGCTAGATAACTTTAGTACACTCTATTAAAAGATCTAGATAATTTTGTCACTGACTGAAAACTTTGCTGACTGAAAACCAGCGGTAATTATGTAATCAGCATTATGCTGAGTTGAGATCGAATTTATGGTAAAAAGCCTAATCATTTATTTTTGCTAAGGTTCCTTTTTTGTTTGTTGTCTATTAAATTGTTTATTCAAGATCATTAATTAATATCACACCCCATATTGTATTATTAGATTTATGAGAAAATGAAGACATTAATTAGTGCGAGATTCTATTATAATTACGTAATGATATTGCATAAGTATAATAATTATATAATAATAATAATACACCTTAGCCTCCCTTGACGATATATTTTTATTTAGAAAAAGGATCCTTTGTTTTAACTTTAAATTTTTAAATTCACATAAGAGTAGCTTTTTCGTTTGCCTTAGAATACCGACGATCACACAACCCGCCTGACGGTAAGTAATCACCGTAACTCCTGGACAACAGCAATGCCAGAGACATGGACAAGCCACCGTCGGCCTTCTATTGAAGCATAAACATTAATTCTACTCGCTTTTATATTACTAAATCAATTTAACTGTAACCAGGTCAATTATGAAGTGAAGCATGTCGCAGATGTAAAACAATGTGATTCGGGCATTAGGTTGAAAATTGCGTCTCAATATCGTGTTACATGTTCGGTTAACTGACTTCCTCACGCCATATTAACCGTGAAATGGAATCTTACAAATTAAACTGATAATGTAATCGTAAAACTTTTATGTGATGCAGAGCAACACTATAAATATAATCTTTATTTATATATATATAATTATATATATAAATATTATATTATATATAAATATAATTTATTTATTGCTTAGATGGATGGACGAACTCACAGCCCACCTGATGTTAAGTGGTTACTGGAGCCCATAGACATCTACAACGTAAATGCGTCACCCACTTCGAGATATAAGTTCTAAGGTCTCAGTATAGTTACGACGGCTACCCCACCCTTCGAACCGAAACGCATTACTGCTTCACGGCGGAAATAGGCGGGGTGGTGGTACCTACCCGTGCGGACTCCCAAGAGGTCCTACCACCAGTGATTACGCAAATTATAATTTTGCGGGTTTGATTTTTATTACACGATGTTATTCCTTCACCGTGGAAGTCGATCGTGAACATTTGATGAGTACGTATTTCATTAGAAAAATTGGTACCCGCCTGCGGGATTCGAACACCGGTGCATCGCTTCATACGAATGCACCGGACGTCTTATCCTTTAGGCCACGACGACTGTAAAATACGACGACTGTAATCTTCTTTCATCCTATAAATATAGAGTATTTATATAATATTATATAATCGCGGTTTCCAATATGTAAAAATGTATGTTATTTGTTGGCACCTCAGTTTCGTTTTTTATAGTACCGTCAACAATAGACCAGTGATAGAAAGCACGATTAAAAAAAATAAAAAAAGGCTTCTTTTAAAAAAAAAAATGAATGTACAGAATATATTTAAACTTACCGGCAGCGGGAAGGACGCCTGGCGGCTAACTGGTGCCATCGGTCCTAGTGGAGCGAAGGGCGGCATTCTTTGTTCAGGAGCTTGTGCGAAGGGCGGCATTCTTTGTTCAGGAGCTTGTGCGAAGGGCGGCATTCTTTGTTCAGGAGCTTGTGCGAAAGGTGGCATTCTAGCGTCAGAACCAGGTCCAAAAGGCATCCTGGGTTCAGGACCGGAAGGTGTCTCTGGCTGAGGACGCAGAGGGAGGCGTACTGGACCGGTCAACGGGAAGGCAAATACCTGGGACTGTGGCTCCGGGAAATTGATTGCCCTGTAGACAAATTTGACACTTTTAGTTTCTTATAATGCGTCTCGTGCTTGATAAATACTCCATCCTACAGATGGTTTTCATAAAACGGGTCAATTCCAGAAAATAAATGTTAAAATATACATTTATTTTTAATTTTTAAGAATTTGATTTATAATATAAAAAAATATCTACCTAATCCATTCGTTGAATAAGAAAGAACGGGACTTCTTTGGAATAAGATTTGATTGGATACTTTGAGATTTAATACCTAAAAAGTAGTTTTATGAAACCCCAATAGGCCAATTTTCGTTTTTGTTAAATTCCCTCCAGAACCTTTTACCCTCTACACTTAAGTGATCTAAATGAAGCATATTGAATTCGTTGAGACTAACTTCATTTTACTATTTTTCATACTATTTCTTATTTTTCAAACTACTTATTTTCGAAGAGAAAAACATATTTTTTTTTATTGCTACGATGGGTAATATTTTTTAATTATTATGGTATAATTTTGAATTATAACGAACTTATATGGGGGCAGCTTCGAGTTCTGGAGACATGTTTCCAGAAAGAGATAATTTCGAAAAGCTGTCAATAACAAGCAAATTATGTGGAAGTAGGCCCAGAGACAGAAGTTCAATGCACTGGTCGAACTAGATATGCTCTACCCTCAACACCTCAGTCCACGGTGCCATCCACGCAGATAAAGATAGACAGAGCTGGTGCAAGATAGTCCGCGAGAATACTATTCAGAAAGGCCACAATCCTCAGAATTGAAGATTATCGACTGAAAGAGGAGGAGGGCACGACTCAAACTCATATGCTGATGTACAGTTTTTTTTCCACAGTACAAAATCGCCGGATTCCCACCCGCACGGCAGGTGGGATGTGTGGGAGTCGAATCTCACTAAAAACTCCTGCCACTCACAGCCGGCGCCCTACCCCGGACCGGGCGGGAACCCAGTCGAAGCTATTGAGATGGCGGGGCAGGGTTTACGCAGACCATATTACATCCATCCCGTCAGCATAGTAATTGTTTAAACTAACTGTCATTCATGTTGATGCTCGTAACGATAACCGTATCAGCATTTAAAAGTTTCATGAAATCCTTGGAAATAGCGTAACTGTTATACAGCATAGTCGTTACAAATAAATATACATTAAATACTATTACAATAAATATACGTAAATTTCGTTTAAAAACTATTACTAAGGTAAAGTAAAAACATTCTTCAAATTGTTATCGGTCCGAGATACGTGTGCAAATTTTCATGTTATTCAAACGTCTTGAAGTGAATTAATAACTATGATAAAAAAACATTAACATTACAATTTAAGTATTATACATTAAATTTGGAACCTGTAATTATCATATGAATATACATTGGATTCTTGTTTTTTTTGCTAGTTTTGTGCTATACCTATATACTTGACAAATTACAATTGCATTAGTTACTAAAATAAGTTTGAAGCCAATTTATTTTCGTTCCCTATTGGTTATTACTGAAATTTCTGAGTATCGAGCTATGTTACTAGGTAAAAGTACTCTGTTAATGACCAACAAACATCTGGCCATTCATTTGCTATTCCTAATGAAAAGGCGAACGAAGTAGAAGGAAGAAATCCGATGAAATCGTGTCGGATAACAAAAGAGTTTTATGCATTTCACGATTGCAATGCAAATAGTCTTTTAATTTCAAACAAAAATCTACCATTCTACTGTCCATTTTAGACATCTCGAAATATTCTGTTATTATGTTTAAATTAAGTATTCAATTAAAACACACCTGGGCTCATCTCCTCCGTGGCAGATGATGGCTACGCGTTCGGCATGAGCGCTGCGGGGAGCGAACGCGCCTAGAATGTTGAAGGGAAAACGTCTCTCCATGGGGTCGTCGTTACGACGCTCCACCACGCAGTTCATACGGCCTCTGAAACACAAAATTATAGTATAAGGTAAAAAAAATATGCTTATAAGCTTTACGGCAAGAAATAGTTCGACGAATCGAACAAACCGCGGAACAATTCAATTTTTTATTTATTTATTGCTTAGATGGGTGGACGAGCTCACAGCCCACCTGGTATTAAGTGGTCACTGGAGTCTATAGACATCTACGACGTAAATGTGCCACCCACCTTGAGATATAAGTTCTAAGCTCTCAGTATAGTTACAACGGCTGCCTCACCCTTCAAACCGAAACGCATTACTGCTTCACGGCAGAAATAGGAAGGGTGGTGGTACCTACATACCCGTGCGGACTCACAAGAGGTCCTACCGCCAGTAATGCCATAAGTATTTATTACACGATGTTATTCCTTCACCGTTAAAGTCAATCGTGAACATTTGTTGAGTACGTATTTCATAAGAATAATTGGTACCCGTTCTAAAATACATGACTAAATAATAACGCGTTATAGAGAGATAATAAAATTTAATTTGTAAATGGGCTATTTATTCTAATTTCTTTCATTAGTAAGTCACATTAAAATTTATAACAATACTTTTAATTGATAAAGAGTTTATATTTTTTCACCCATATACTTATTATACATATATTTTTATGATAATAAATAGAATTGATTCAGGTATTGCCTTCTTTATACCTCTTCAGTACATACATATGTATATGAATATATTTAACCTTCAAAGATATAAAAACGAACTAAGTACTAAAATTAACCTTTCTTTATCGTTATGCTTGTTTTCGTTGTTATTCATGGCAGAAGAGTTATTGGCCCAGCTAATGGTGAGCATTTACAGTCGCCCATAGACATGGGCAATTTGGAGACCCCTAATCATACCTAACTGAAAAGGACCGTTTTTAAACATCGTTTAAGGAAAGTCATATACCTATAGCTCTCAATATATCGTACTCATTGAATTTAAAATGTAATCGTAAAGTAATTTCAAGGCTTTGATAAATTTTATTGTTCTTGGTGACAGGACTATCTCGTTTTTTTTTTGTTGGTATAATTAAATATTAAAGTATTTATTACGACTTGGTATTCGATGTACTCTTTTGTACTTCGTATCCGTTTCCTCAAATGGTAGACAGAGTTTTTTTTTCTTCATGAGATGAAATAGTTTCATAAAACTATTTACTACAAAATTCATAAAGCTTGAGAATAAAATGAGTTTAAAAAGTAACTGTTCGTTTTACACGATCTACGTTTTATTTATGTACCAATGTATATATCATTCATGCAAGTATGTCGCTAAACAGATTATGATTTATCCGCAAAACGCTTCGCAATACCATGATTAATGTCTACCCACTTCAAAAGAGGGTACCCACAAAAAAATTGCCTTTGAAGTGTATTTATTGTGCTTGTAGAGACGTGAAGCTGATGAAAATTGTTCGACAGGTTTTATGTTATAATATAATATTACTTAAGTTACTCCGATTCTCTTCCTTGTGCCGTTATATATAAGGATTTAGGACGGAGCGCTGTTGGTACACCTCTCAGAGGAATTAAGTCCGCGAGGACGGCAAAAGTGGCTTAGGGAAAAGTTAGAATGTTTCCCGATGACGAATACAACGAAATATATACGAATCAGTAAAACAAACATCACAAAATAATATTATCAACTTAATATCTTCACGAAATTATGGACGGTTTGAATGTCGTTTCCTTGGACCATAAATTGGGTTCGACTTCTAATATGTTTCCACGTAACACTTACTTAAAACAAATTTTTGGAGCATACATTTTATTATCTTGTTGTTTCCTTTAACATGAATATATCCTTTACTTTGTTCTGCTGATATATTATCTAAAATGTCTAGGTCACATCCGTTATAAATTTGCTAAGCGAATTCAAAGATATTGATAATTTTTCGTATGAACATTTTAATAAACTTGAAACTCCACTAATGCATAAATCCGAACTTGATAAGCTACCGAGAAGTAAAGCAAAACTTACTACTTATGGTTAATTACTTGGAAAACATTTTTTACTGTTCTGGGATTTTTTTTTGCCTTTGTAGGCAGGCGAGCATACGGCCCACCTGATGGTAAGTGGTCACCGTCGCTCATGGACATCAGCAATACCAGGGGCAGAGCCAAGCCGCTGCCTACCATTAAGTACTCTCCGCAAGCCTCGTTTGAAGAAGGACATGTCATAGGGCTCGGAAAACACCGTGGAGGGGAGTTCATTCCAAAGCCGGATGGTACGTGGCAAAAAAGATCTTTGGAAACGCACTGTCGATGAACGCAGAGGTTCCAGATAATATGGATGAACTCTGCTCCGAGTATATGCTGCTGCTATGTATTATTTAAGGACATATAATATCGTTCCTGAGCAGACGCTACACAGCAGTCTCGTGTACCTAAATATATCGTAATTACTAATGATGACACGCTTACTTTTGGTTGTTTGCTAAGAAAGCGCCCGCCAACTCATCAAGGTCAAACTGAATAGGCAATTTGAACATCGGTCTGATCGCTTCAAGTTCGTCGTCTTCTTCAGCAGAACTGTCGGACTCAGGACTCTCATCACTCGAGTTTGGTGAGTCATTCTTATCGTCGTCAATTTTCTGGAAACGCAAGAAAGAATCAATTTATTTTGTTATTTAACGTTGTATAAGGATGTCCAGTATGTAAATTAGATTAAATTTGTAATATACATTTTTTTCCCCCAGAAATTCTATTAAAATTGTATATTATCTTAAACAACACGAAAATTTTATGAATAATCAAATCCAAGTTACAATGAGGTGACTCACAGTCACGGATTGCTAAAATCGTAAACATGGAATCCTCACCCTCCAAATATTGTATCTTACGGATATGGTAGCTTCGCTTGGTACCGACCTGCATCAAATTGGAAGGAACGCGATACTGTCAAGTGCGTGAAAAATACTAACTGCAGCAATTCTTTGATATAGAGTAGGACGAGTTAGACAACGCATTACCACTTTGGTCTTAATCTGTCCTATCGAGCCGCGGGCAAGTATAGGGAGTAATTCAGGGCAATTTCTACGTAGTCTACGGATCGACAAGATACCTTATAATAAACGTTTCACATCAATACCCATATGACCAATGAGGCGATCAAATGAAGGGCACATTAGTGCTGTGCTCGCTCTGGTTTAGTACAAAAGCAACTGAAGCGGTAGAAATACTCGCTCGTCGACTATTGCTAGTACTGATCAAGCGAAATATCCCAAAGCTACATTTGACACATTTGGATGGGCATCGAACAACCAGAGAACCGATAATCACGCTTCAGTTCTTACTTTAAGGTATGTCCTACGGATTATTTGTTATGATTTCGGAGCACCTTCATTAAAGGGGTGCCGCGACATCTAAAGTTTTATTCAAGTCTGTGACAACGAATATCGGTCGAAAGGTTTTAAGCAACTGGATCTAAGGGTGGCCCTACCTCAGCGTCTAAAACGCAGTGATGGTTCTGGTGACTTCTTTCCGACTATTAAAATCTATGAAACTTCATACAATCATGTAGAGGAAGAATGAACAATCGTGCATATATAGCATGTGTAAGATTGTGGTATACATTAAATATATTCACTGGTCTTAAGTCAAGTCAATGGTTGAACAGAAACATTTAGTCACCTAACCTTACGCAAACAATACGGGGACCTACCGTCAAAAATATAAAAGTGCCTGGTAAATTACATATTGATGGAAAGTTTTTAACGAAGATTGATTACAATAATAATGGCATTTAATGTTTTAAGGATGTGTTCAACATCTCTACATATTATATCTTCATACATTTTATTAGGTTATTTAACCAGTTCTTTATTAGATAGAAAATTCATGATGCTTTAGTAAGTAGTAAATGCAATATCTTACAACATTATTTACAAAAAGGCCTCGATGGTTTGGTAACCGCACGAAGCTGCGTGCCGCGAGTGCCGTAACCCGTGTGACGAGTGCTCAGATGAAGGTACCGACATCAACAAAAATATTTACGCAACCATCCAACTTTACTGACTCGTGACCAAAATAAACCTAAACCAGTTTCTATTTATGTTTAACGATCGAAGAGCCATATACAGAGACGTGGATGAATACTATAGTTTTAAATCTTAATCTTCTTATTTTCGTAGTACTAGCGGTAGGCAGAATTGTGTGCTCATTTTTTTTTCCTGCCTACTCTAGTGACCACGAGGGGTCATACTAGATTCACCGAACCAGTAGGTGATCTAACGGGGCTCTAAACTTGCGATTTTGTTAACACTAGCCCCAGCAAGAGCAGTGCTTCGTGGGCTGCTTCGTCGTAAGCGACGGGTTCGACGAGAACGGTGACCGGTGCCCGAGGTTTATGCCCACACAAGTCGGTACCATTATCCCTACGTATTTCCACTATATCTATTAGTAAAATTTTATTAAGAATTCTCATTCGTCTCCAAGACAGTCAACATTCACATCTTTGTGTGTAGTATTATTGATCGAAGTGTGCAAACGAGCATACCGCCCTCCTGGTGGTGAACGGTTACCGTTGCTTATGGACCTCAGTGATACCAGGGGTACAACTGAGCTGCTGCCTACAGCGGAATACACTCCGCAAACCTCGTTTGTAGATTGACGTGATGGGCCGCGTCGTCCATAAAAAAAATGGCCATTAAAATATTAGAGCCTATAATTTGCATATCGCCAGCTTACAACTTATGCGTTATATGGCCTGCAAATGCAGCTCTTATTTGTCTCGTTCTGTACTGTTTGTTCAATACAATGGATTCGGACATCCTGCGGGAGACAATGCGCCCACGCACTATTGTTCCACTGCCCCCCGTTTGTAAATAATGTCCGTATTTCGATACATCCATCAACGAATTTTAATCGTCCTACGACTATGCAAATCAGACCACGATAAAAACGCTGAGAAGCATTTACCGTTAGATTCGAAGGCTATATTTACACTATACTCATATTTTTTTTCGGACCTGTGCTGATAGCCTTGAGAGGCTATTTCAGCTTCTCCTTGGCGTGTAGGTGAGCTCACGGGGCACTCAAACCGGAGTGTTGCTAACACTGGCCCTAACAAAAGCAGTGCTTCGCAGAGTCTACACCACCGGATAGGAAACGCGACCCACTGAGAAGATCCGGCGAGAAAATCACTGGGCTGTGTCTAAGGGGTAAACTATATTCGTACAACGTTACTCAATTAAATTTGACTTAAGACAATCTGATTGAATCGTTGAAATCATTTTCAATAAAATTATTGACATATACTGTATGCAAATTAAATAATTTGCTTTCACGTAATGCAATATCGCAGTGCCATATGCAGTCACTGGCACCAGTTCGACGAGTGAAAGCTGCCCGACGTCGCCACTTGCACAAATATAACTCAAACAACTATTGTTGATCGAAGTCAAACACAATAATAATGATATGTTCATTATTTCTTTTAAAACGGTTAATAGCAAAAGTTGATTATTAGTAGTTTTACGGTCATGAAAAAAACTTCTTATGTAAATTATATGTTCGTCACGAAAATAATTGTATTTCCACAAGCGTATAAAGCAACTTTTGCGTCAAGAATAAAAAAAACTTGTTTTAACTACATAATGACAAGTACCTGCAATTTGTCTTCGTTTATTTTGGACTCGGCATGGTTGAGTGCGTCGTCTTTGAAGAGGCTGGGTCGTGAAGATGACGGCTGGCTCGTCTCAGGTAACACTGAAGACAGCGTGGGCGGTACTCCATGCAAAGCGTGGGCATTTGCTAGTGGCAAAGGCTCATCCTGTAAACAATAACTCAATTAGTAACTATACTGAGACCTTAGAACTTATATCTCAAGGTGGGTGGCGCATATTTACGTTGTAGATGTCTATGGGCTCCAGTAACCACTTAACACCAGGTGGGCTGTGAGCTCGTCCACCCATCTAAGCAATAAAAAAAATTTTGAAAGCAATGCATCTATCGTTCAAACATCCGTAATAATAAAATGTAAATCAAGTGATTTTTATGCCAAAAATTTGTTATAAGCACAAACCCGTTTCTCTAGTTTATACAGTTAAAAAAATATGATATAAATGTTGACAAGTTGTTTATTAGCCATTAAAAATTCGTCACAAGGCTCATCTATAACAACTAACACGCAAAGCATGATCTTGATATTCAATACATTATAAAATAAATATCATTTAAAATCATCTTATTGGCTTTGATTCTTCTGTGTCACAGCCTTGAATTTGTTGAAAGGCTCAAATGTATGTATAATGTAGTCTTTCGGCATAATATCACTAAGATTGTTTAAACGACTTTCAAATAAGTTTTATAAACTTCTTCGGCTAAAATTTTGTCTCTGAAGGTTTTTGTTTTTTCTTTTTGTATCCGTAGGCTCAAATTACTGTACCTGACGACGTGTGCGTAACAAAAAAGCTCAAGATAAATAACGAGAATTTAAAAGATACAATAAAGTATTATTTTGATGAGGTATACAAAGTTTTTTGTTTCGATATCTCTGTTTTATAAAACAACCAAGACGTTGTGTTTACCTAAGTGATTCGTCTAGTAAAGTATGTTATTTCCTTAGAAAAGTCACAAGCAAACGTCGATCTCCATTTGGACTACGACGCCGTGACGCCGCGCCGTTCACTTTAGTGCAGAACCATCAAAGTGCTCATCGCAAAATGGCGGATGCCTTTGCTTGGAGTCAGTCTCTTACGTAATGCATGTAGGTATATATATATACATACAGTCGTGTGTAACGAAGGCTGTATTTATCTTAGTACCTTCTAGTTGCCTACGCGGACGCTAAAGTTTGTCATTGTTCGTGGCTAATGCCTTGTTCTCATTGGATAATCACGGACATTAAACGACAATCATACAAACTAAAAAAAGACACGTCGTTCATTATAAAAAGTGCAAGGTTACCGGTACAGCGACGGACTGACGTTGGAAGCGCTGATTAAAGCCATTGTTACAGTAACGTGTCCTCCACAATAGTTTTAATTAGTAAGTGCCGACGATGTTTCTTCCGATAATTATTTTATTCGACTACAATCAGGATTTTTTTTTATTGCCCTTGTAGGTAGACGAACGAGCATACGACCCACCTGATAGTGGTTACCGTCGCCCATGGACTTCAGCAAAGCCGCTGCCTACCGCTTAATACTCTCCACAAGTCTCTTTTAAAAAAGGTCATGTAATACGGCTCGGGAAAGACCATGGAGGGGAGCTCATTCTATAGCCGATGGTACGTGGCAAAAAAGACCTCTGGAAACGCACTGTCGAAGAAAGCAGCGGTTCCAGATGATATGGATGAACTCTGCTCCGATGGCGGGAGGTGCGATGATAAAAAGGAGATGAGGGGATCATCTCAAACAATTCCTCAGAGCTCTCCCCATGGAACATACGGTACAAAGTACAGAGGGAACCGAAGTCTCTCCGCAGACCCAGAGGTTTTTAACTTTAACGACATTTATAAAGATATATATTATATCTTTTATAGGAACGACCTAAGTAAGATTCTCTGGTATTTGGAATTTCCATATTCGTATCTAGAATATTTGAGTGTGTGATATAATGTAAGCTCAAACAGTATAGAGACCACGCCTATTTCTAACGTAAAATAATCATGGGCTCCGTTTTAACACCGGTTTTACAAACATAGTTGAGTTTCAGTCTCAAAATGCAGAACAACAACCGTGCAGAACTTAAAACAGGCCCTTCGACTAATCAGTCACATCTTCGCAAAATTATACTATCATTCCAATGATTAATAAAAAAAACTAATCTGAGAAACGTCAAGCTCAAGTAAGTCATAAAAAATGAATTTCAAAAACAGCAAAATGGTGTTGATGATTAGGAAATCTCTTACTCCTTTATCGTTTACGTTATTTAGATTTAGGGTTGATTAAAATATTTCAATTACTTCTTTTGGAGTGAATAAATGGACTAGCATACCGTTCAGCTCGTGTTAAATGGTTATCAAAACCCACACAGAATTTAAATAGCGGCACCGACCTTTAAATATTATGAAATTGAAGTCTAAATTTTACCACGTAAACAAGTAGTATGTGCTGTAGTGTTTACTGGTTGTTGGACCTCTTGTGAGTCCACACGGGTAGGTATCACCACCCCGCCTATTTCTGCCGTGAAGCAGTAATGCGTTTCGGTTTGAAGGGTGGGGTAGCCGTTGTAACTATACTGAGACTTTTGAACTAATATCTCAAGGTGGGTGGCGCATTTACGTTGTAGATGTCTATGGGTTCCAGTAACCACTTAACACCAGGTGAGCTGTGAGCTTGTCCACTCATTTAAGCAATAAAAAAATAATTAAAAAATGCGTCTCGGTTTGAAGGGTGGGAAAGCCGTTGTAACAATACAACTTATATCCCAAGATGGGTGGCGCATTAACGTTGTAGATGTCTATGGACTCCAGTAACCACTTAACACCAGGTGGGCTGTGAGCTCGTCCACCCATCTAAGCAATAGAAAAAAAATGTGCGTGCTTGCTTAAAATTGAATTAAATTTGTACTTCGGCATACCGGCGGCATATCGGCGGCACCGCTTGGTACGAGTACACCGTGTCTTATCCTTTAGGCCACGATGACTTCCAAAGACCTTCAGAGCCGTGACTACACTTCACCGCGAAGATAGCTTTAGTTAATTCCATGTGTACGAGAAAAAACAGCAATCGACAAAACTAAATATGGTCTTTTAGGCGCAATAATGAACACGGCAAATGTATGTTACGCTGTCAACTATCTGAAGGCAGCGGAGCGCGAAATACTTGCGACCGCAACTGATAGAAAACGACGATTACGTAGCAAATCATTGTCGCTTTGTGCACTACGCCCACGGCACTTTTACTGGATTTACGAAACATTTTAAACATTTTAACAATCGTTCTTACCTTCTACGTGGAACGTTGCGTGATAACGGGGAAATTATACCTCAAACACAAGAAGCAATCATCTATGGGCAAATTACATGTGAATGCCTAAACTAAAATTGCATGTTTGTTACAATATTATCTTGCGCACTAGTTTTGAAGTAAATACTTATTTCACACGAAATCGAATTGTGGTCGCATGCATTGTGTGCATGATTGCCAAACGTACCTACTGAATACTTGTTTTATTACGACCGAAAGATAACGGATATAATTGTTAATACCTTTTTATTTTATTTTTTATTGCTTAGATGTGTGGACGAGCTCACAGCCCACCTAGTGTTAAGTGGTTACTGGAGCCCATAAACATCTACAACGTAAATGCGCCACACACCTTGAGATATAGTTCTAAGGTCTCAGTATAGTCACAACGGCTGCCCCACCCTTCAAACCGAAACGCATTACTGCTTCACGGCAGAAATAAGCAGGGCGGTGGTACCTACCCGCGCGGACTCACAAGAGGTCCTACCACCAGTAATTACGCAAATTATAATTTTGCGGGTTTGATTTTTATTGCACGATGTTATTCCTTCACCGTGGAAGTCAATCGTGAACATTTGTTGAGTACGTATTTCATTAGAAAAATTGGTACCCGCCAGCGAGATTCGAACACCAGTGCATCGCTCGATACGAATGCACCGGACGTCTTATCCTTTAGGCCACGACGACTTCAACTTATACTTTTGACTTTGCTGGGTATAAAGCATGGTGTTACCGTTTAAACAGCTTATTATTTGTTATATTCTATTAATCTAATATAATTTAAGCTACATTGTGAAAATATCCATAAAACTCAGTAATCTAACTTTAATTATATTCCATTGCAAGCCTGTGAAATCGCATTAGAAATTATTGAATTCCAAACGAAAACTAATATGGATAAAATTTAACACGCCTTTAAAGATATTAAATTACATTCACGCTTACGATCAGATACAGAGTTATTACTAGACGGTACCTACATATAAATAAATTCCATGTTATTACGAGAAAGTTGCAGTTTGAATAATGAAAGCCGGTAATTACAAAACATGGAGTAAATTTGGTACAAAATAGTAATAAAATAAACAATATTTTAACGAATGAAGCTTCTCTAGATTTATGACTCCAATGCAATGAAATGTGTAAATTTAAGTGGCAATAGTTTGGTCGACATTCATTTCAAAGAAAAAATGAAATCAACCGTAGACTACGTGTTAAACTAAAAATGTATAGGCCATAATCGAATTTTCATCTGTATTGTATGTAATTTATGTATTGCTTAAATGGGACGAGCTCATGGCTGACCCGGTGTCAAATTGTTATCGAAACCCATCGACTTCAACAAACAAAGTAGATGCCGCCACCGACTTTACGACCTTCCGAGTCTCAGTTTTAGAGTACAACGGCTGCTCAACCCTTTAGGACCAAGCGCATTACTGCTTCACGACAGAAATATGCAGAGTGGTGGTACCTATCCGTGCGGACTTACAAGACACCCTAACACAAGTAAGTATATCTTGAGAATTTGTCAGCTTAATCTATTACTGGTGGTATTATAATTACCGGTGGTAGGACCTCTTGTGAGTCCGTACGGGTAGGTACCACCACCCTGCCTATCTCTGCCGTGAAGCAGTACTGTGTTTCTGTTTGAAGGGTGGGCAACCGTTGTAACTATACTGAAAACTTAGAACTTATATCTCAAGGTGGGTGGCGCATTTACGTTGTAGATATCTATGGGCTCCAGTAACCACTTAACACCAGGTGGGCTGTGAGCTCGTCCGCCCATCTAAGCAATAAAATAAAATAAAACTGTTCTAGGTACCTTTAGACAAGGTCATCTTCTCGAAAAACGACCTTC